ATAGTATTGACCCAACAAAGGTCACTGTATATACATAGGGAAAATGGGAAATTATAGCTAAATATACCTTTATTTACAAAACATTCATTACAAATGTTTATAAAATGTTAACATAAAATATAAAACATGTTAAAATATAATACAATATCAAATATGAGTTTATTAATTCCTTATGTATGGCAACATTTGAGATACCCTATATAATGACCATATTTCTCTTTTTTTACCACTGCTAACTTAAAGTCAATTTTATCTGATATGAGAATAGCTACATCTGCTCTGTTTTGGTTTCTGTTTGTGTGGAATTTTATTTCCATCCTTTCATGTTAAGTTTGTGTGCATCCTTGTGGGTTAGCTGTGTTTGCTGAAGTCAATAGATGTTTAGGTTGCTTTTTCATTCATTCAGTCAACCTATGTCTTTTGAGAAAAGCATTTAGACTTTTAATACTGAATGATAGAATTGGTATGTGGGGTGCTGTGCTGTTCTATTCGTCATGTTGGCTAGTACTTCTTTGTTTTCCCCCTTATGCTGTTGTTTTATAAGAGTTGTGGGCTTTAGCTTTTCGGGATGGTTTTGGACTGGTGGATATCTGTTGTGCTGATTGATGACTAATGCAGTTCTGAGTATTTCCCACAAAGGAGTTCTAGTCATGACAAATTCCCTCAGTGTTTGCTTGTCTGGAAAAGACTAAATTTCTCCATCAATTGTGAAACTCAGCTTTTTAGGATAAAAAATTCTATGCTAGAAGTTGTTCTATTTAAAAAGATTGAAGATGGAGTCACAATCCCTTCTAACTTATAGGATTCCCACTGAGAAATCTGAAATTATTCTGATGGATTTTCCTTTCTAGGTTAGTTGTAGCTTTTGTCTTGCCACTTGTAGACTTTTCTCCTTCACTTGGACTTTGGCAAGGTTGATTACTATGAGTCTTGGAGATGTCTTATTTGCTATGAATCTTCCCAGTGTTTGATGACCATTTTGTATCTGAATCTCTGGTGATAGCAGAGAACTTTTCATCAATAATTCCCTAGAATATATTTTCCAAGATTTTAACTCTTTCTTCTTCTCCCTTAGGGATACCTATAACTCATATCACATAATCCCATATTTCTTTAGATATTGCCTATTTTTAAAATTCTTTTCTCTGCCTCTTTGAATGACTGAGTTAGCTTGATAGCCTTACTTTCAAGCTCTGAGATTCCTTATTCTCCTTGGTTTAGTCTGTTTTTGAAGCTTTCTGCTGTGTTTTGAAATTCCCTAAATGACTCATTTCTGTAAGTTCCATTATATACTTTCTTAAATTGTCTATGTAGAGACTTTTTCATTGATTTCCTGAAGTATTTGTATGCCTTCTTTTTGTCAGTTTTTAACTTTCTCTTAAATTCCATTCATCTTATATCATCTTATTTGCCCTCCATATTTCATTACTATTATTTTGATAATTTCCTGTGATTGGAATCCACTACTATAGTTGTATCATGACCCTTGGATGGTATTAATTTTTTTTTCTTTTCATGTTATGAGGGTTCTTTTGCTGCCTTATTCTCATCTGAATTCTCTTTTCTCAGATTAGGGCTAATAGATTCACAGGGCACCTGTTCTCCTTTACTGGGCACTCTCTTACTTAATTAGAAGAAGAGGAGGTCCCTAGATAGTGCTTTATTCCTACTCTGAAGTATTGAACAGCAGGGGAGGCTTACATTTGTTCTGCCTTGGCCTGTTCACCTGTGACTGCCACAGTTCAAGGTGGCATTGGATGATCTTTGTGTGGGGTGGTGGGTTGTTCTCCAAATTGTTGTAGGAAGTTCAAATTGGGGGCTGGGTAAGACCCTCTTCATGGAAGCTGGTGTTGTGGGGATTGCTCTGCCTGGAATCTCCCTTCAGAGTGACAGTGACAGCTGGGTGAGGCCATCTAGTCAGTGGTCATCGGTGCACAGGCTGTAGGCATTTTCTCAAACCAGGTCCAGGTGTAATAGTGGAGCCTGGAACTTCCTCCTCAAGCATGGGGAGGCCCATAGCAGGATAGTGGAACTTGGGATAGTACTTCCAGCCCAGCAGCAGTGGTGGAGACTCAGTGTTGGGGTATTGGGGTTCAGCCATAGCACTGAAATCTTGGGCGTGGGCTGTGGACCTCTTCTAAGCTCTGGGGCCATGGGGTAGAGCCCTAGGCTTTGGCATAAGAGCCTCGGTACCAGAACTAGGGATCATAAAATCAGGGCCAAAATGAGTGCAAAAGCAGGGTTGTACAGGCTGCAGATTTTTCCACCATCCTGGGGACTCTGGATACCAAATTACATGGGCAGGATTTGGTTCTAGCAGCCCAAGGACCATGGAGTTCTCCCCATCCCCTGAGACCCCACTGAATAAGTTGAGCCTGTAGCACCTGAGGCAACTCCTCTACCCAAACCCCTCCGGTGGAGGGGCAGGGTACTTGACTCCCAGTCAGAAGGTATGGCTTAGGAGAGTGTCTGCTCGGTACACTCCCTGCCCCATCTGGTGGGGGTGATGCAATTGCATTCAGGCTACTAGTGCAAATCTGAGTCCCATGTAGACCTGGCACCAGGTACATGGGAACTCAGGATGTCAGCTGCAGAAATGGGATTGGCAGCCACCAGATCCTTCCTGCACCTGTTCTCTGATGCAATGACTCTGCACAAACTCTAGACATCTCCCTAGTCAGTACAGACAGAGGTCTGTGACAGTGGAGTGAGCCCTCTTACAACTTGACCACAGTGCCTGTGAGATGAGTGCCCCACCCCAGCATTCTATCCTCTTAATCTTCCCCACATGTAGATGCCTCCTTTAGAGATCCCTTCATTTTTGCCAAATGAATCACCCTGTCACCCTCCACTTCACTCTGAGTGTCCTTTATCACTTCTTAGGGATTTCACAATCTTCCTTCTGAGAAAAACTATCTTTACGTAGACATCTGCTTGCAATTAATGATCTTTTCCTTGAAAGCAGCATGCTTGCAGGCTGCTTCTAGTCTGCCATCTTCCCTAAGTTCATCTTCTTAAAAGGACACCAGTCATATTGAATTGGGTAGGGTTCACCTGAAAGACCTCTTTAACCTTAGTTACATCTTTAAAGAACCTATCTCCAAATACGGCATTCTGAGGTACTGACAGTAAGGACTTTAACATATAAATGTGAGGAGGGGGTTAGTCCATTTGTGCTGCTACAAGGAAAATGCCTGAAGCTGGAAAATTTATAAAGAAAAATGTTTATTTGGCCCACAGTTCTACAGACTGTACAAGCATAGTGCCAACATCTGCTTCTGGGCTTCATGGAGCTTCCAATCCAAGTAGAAGGCAAAGGGGGAGCAAGCATATCACAAGGCGAGAGAAGGAGCAAGGGGAGGAGGTGGTGCTAGGCTCTTAAACCAGCTCTCACATGAACTGATAAAATGAGAATTCACTCAACTATGGTGGGAAGAGCACCAAGCCATTCATGAGAGTAGCATCCACCCTCATGACCCAAACACCAATGACTAGGTCTTACCTCTAACACTAGGATCAAATTTCAACAGGAAATTTGGAGTGGCCAAAGATCCAGACCATATCAAGGAGGATATAGTTCAGTCCATAATAAACAAGGAAGGCGAATATTGAATTAAATATAGTATAGCTTACTAGAAAAGATCATTAAGCTTAAAAGGTAAAAGAACTAAGGACTGGTGGTGCTATTTTTATATCTTTGAGCAAGTCAATTATTCTGATCTAAATTTTCTGATTATTAAAAAGAGACAATATTTTCCCTGTTGAATTCTGAGACTCTAATAGAAAATACTGTACATGTGGAAGCTTTTTGTATAAGTCAAACATCCTCTTCTCATATACATTATCATTAATATTTATAAGCTATTGATAGCTATGGTAGGAGAAACCATAGATTATAAAGAAGGGAGAGTTTTCAAGCATGAGATGAACTTTTACTTGTTTGATATGGCTATAGTACAAAAATATACTGAAAAAGAAAAAAGAGCATTATTAATGTGTATTCTTCTAACTAAATACAATAAATTACCTTTAAGAAATAATTAGATATACTGTCAATGAATCCCAAACAATGGCTAAAAATTAATCATAAAGTAAAGAAATTTCATAGCAGTGAGGCCAGGAGCAGTGGCTCAAGCCTTTTAATCCTTGTACTTTGTGAGGCTGAGGTGGGAAGAGTGTTTGAGGCCAGGAGTAACAGACCAGCTTAGGCAGCAGTGAGACCCCAAGTCTACAAAAAAAATTAAAAAGAGAAGGCTGGGCATGGTGGCATATGCCCATAGTCCCAGGTACTTAGGAGCCTGAGGCAGGAGGATCACAAGAGTCTTAAGAGTTTGAGTAATGTATGATGACACTACTGACTGTTCCAGCTTCAGGCCCTTTCTTAAAGAGAGAGAGAGAGGAAGGAGGGAGGGAAGAAAGGGAAGGAAGAAGAAAAGGAAGGAAGGAAAAGAAAGAAAAGAAAGAAAAGAAAGAAAGAAAGAAAGGAAGGAAGGAAAGAGAGAGAGAGGGAGGGAAGGAGGGAGGGAGGGAAAAAAGGGAAGGAAGGAAGGAGAAAAGGAAGGAAGGAAAAAGAAAGAAAGAGAGAGAGAGAGGGAGGGAGAAAAGAAAGGAAGGAAGGAAAGTAAAGGAAAGAAAGAAGAGAAAGAGACTATAAGAACACCTATTAGGATAAATGATATACTCAGGAAGCACATTTTTGCAGCACATATATAGATTTTTGTCAAAACCAACTATTGTAGCACTAAATTAATGAACAGATTAGTTTAATTTAGTACATTATATGCTTCATCACCTGGTATTTCACAAAGGAGAAATTTTAACAAATATTATCTGATGCTGCTGCTACCTTCCTGTAAATTACATTTTAGTATCTCCTTGGAAATACATTTTTTATAGTACCTTTAAAAAATCACTTGGTAAAATATTTAAGTGAAGGTAGATAATAACCTTTAATTCAGGAAGTTTTGGCTCACTTGATATATCATGATTTGTCTTTTTAGGGAATGAAATCAGTCAAGTTGAAGGGCTTGACAACTTAGTTGTCCTTCAGGAATTGGTAGTGGACCATAACCGCATCAGAACATTTAATGACAGTGCTTTTGCCAAACCAAGTTCTTTGCTGGCGCTTCACCTGGAGGAAAATAGACTACGAGAGCTGAATAAACTACATCCTTTGGTAAAACTAGAGAAACTATTCCTAGGATATAATAAAATTCAGGTAACATTATTTTGGGTTTTGTTATGAGATTTGCGAGCCTTATTTCTCCCGAGTTCTGAACATAAAGCTTTGAACATACCAATGAAAATTCCACTAGTGTGCTATTTACCATTTATGTACCATACATATTTCAATGTATATAGATATTCTGTGATGTATAGATGTCCACTTTGCTTCTAGACTTATAAACTGGACTAACCCATGTCCCCCCATCTACTAATAAAGGTTAGCTATAAGTGTTCTAAAGCTGTTCTCATCTGTCCTTTCTGAGAGATCTCATTTGTTTCTTGACTGCTATTGGTCTAAGTTGTTTCTGTATCTCAATTCTAGACATCCTCTGGCCCTTTAAACTTGGTCTGCTTGGCATTTGAATCAGTTTTTGACTTGGTTTTAATATTATATCTCTCCCCACTCAAGCCTATAGATAGACTCCTGTATCAGTTGTACCTGCTCAGAATTCAACCAGTTACTTTGCCCCAATTCAACCTGCTCAGACTCTCTCCATTATACAGTTGAGAGAGTTGAAGATATAACCTTATACAGTGCTCACGTTTCTCTTAGCATTTCAGTAAGGATATGTTAGACCTCCTTTTAGCAACTTCACTACTTTTGCTCATACCTCTAAGATAGCCTCAAAGACAGATTGAACTGTGAAATAACCTCTTAAACCCCCAAGGCAAGGACTGAGCCTTTCTTGTCCACATTTATATCAGTATATAGCACAGTACGTGGTTCACAGGAGATACTCAGTAAAGATTTGTTTGTGGCTTATTTGCTGGAGTTCAGGAAGACTTCTGGGATGATATAAAAGAAACTGGTGTTCTTTCTACATATTATAGTAACTAGGGAATGTACATACAGAAAAAAAATAGTATACAACTAATTTATTTAGATTCAAACATTCACCTGAGAAAAGTCTGCTACACTGGCAATGATTCTTTCAAAGTTTTATCCAGAAGAAATATAAATTAAGAAAATTATGAGGCTCGGCACCTGTGGCTCAAGTGGCTAAGGCGCCAGCCACATACACCTAAGGTGGTGGGTTCAAATCCAGCCTAGGCCCACCAAACAACGATGGCTGCAACCAAAAAAAAAAAAAAATGCCGGGCATTGTGGCGGGCACCTGTGGTCCCAGCTACTTGGGAGGCTGAGGCAAGAGACTCACTTGAGCCCGGGAGTTGGAGGTTGCTGTGAGCTGTGATGCCATGGCACTCTACCCAGGGGGACAGCTTGAGGCTCTGTCTCAAAAAAAAGAAAATTTTGATTCTATGGGAAATTTTTTTTTATTAAAGCATGAACACATAGATCATGTATACATTAATGCATTTATGGGCTACATTATGCTGATTTCATATAGAATTAGGAACGCTTACATCACACTGGTTAATATATACCTCATCTCGTTTACTTAAGTATTGTGTAAAGACATTTATACTCTATATTAGTAGATCTGACATGTACCCTTGCATTACGCACCAAAGTGTGATCCCACCATTCACCCTCCCTCAAAATCCTTCTGGTGATTGCAATAGAGCTAAGGATTTAGCACAAAGGATTATAGAATCAGACTTATACTCATTAGAGATCTTACCTCATATCAAGCTTGACTAATAATGTCAAGGATACACAAGACTTAGGACATGCCTAGGGGTTTCTCAGATCCTTCCTTCCCATATCTCACACATACAGCTTTTAACTTAGCATAAAGGGTGAGATCTTCCAGTGAGATTTTGTGGAGTGATAATATCTAAAAGAGCGTTTCATTTATGAAACATCTCCATATTATACTTGAGCTTATGTGATACTCTCTGGGGAGCCATGCCTATTTGACAGGACATCTAGTTATCAGCATATGTACAAGATTAGACCAAGGTAACCTAATTAATCCAGAAGTATACCTCCCCCTCCTTCGACCTTCCCAATCTCTCTTAACAGAGTGAATAAATGGCAGATCAACTGGAATAACAACTTCCTCCCAGTAACTTAAAGAAAATAATTCTTAGTCAAGCTTATTTCTTATCAAAATCTAATACAGCTAAATGATAACCTATCTGATAAACCATGGGATTTTATAGATATCATTGAGTGAAAGGATGATGATTATTATTTCATGATTGTTTACTTTTATCCTTGAAATGCTATTTTTCTTTTTTGAGACAGGGTCTCACTTTGTTGCCCAAACTAGCGTGCAGTGACATGATCGTAGCTCACTGCAGCCTTAAGTCCTGGGCTCACCTCCTGAGTTCCTGGGATTACAGGTGCATGTCACCACATCCAGATACATTTTTCTTAATTTTTTATAAAGATAGGGTCTCATTGTGTTGCCCAGGCTGGTGTCAAACTCCTGGCATCAAACAATCCTCTTGTCTCAGCCTCCCAAAGTGTTGGGATTACAGGCATAAGCCACTGCGCTCAGCCAAAATGGCATTTTTCATTGAATTTAGCTTGATAGCCTTGTCATTAAATTTATTCTAACCTAATGTGACAAGATATGTAGCTGGAGAAAAAAAAATGAACTCAGAAGAATAAATAGATTCTACTGAAAATATATGTTCTTCAAAATTCTTAACTCTTAGTTCATATTTCCTTTTTGACAGAGATTTTGTCTATAGCTTCACACCAACATGGGCAGGCTGATACCAATATTAATTTTCACAACAGGACAATCAGATTACAACCTTTGGGCTGATATAGATTGAAGGTATATGCAGTCTCTCCTTTACCTACTTAAACATCTTTCAGAAACTGCATATCCTTAATAACAGAGTCTGTTGTGAAGCTTTTGAATTAGCCACATGTCCAATAACATAGCTTTGGAAAATTGTTGCTTAGTATCTTCCTTCCACAGAGATAATCACAGACATGCATTATTTAACTCAGTTTTACAGTCACATTTAATCCATGTGTCTAAAATGATTCTCCTACTGGGCATCCAACTTCTCTGTCTACTTTTAAACATCTGAATAATCACTTGAAGTTGGAAATGCCTCTGGGAAATCATCTATTGCTAAATGTCCTGTTCTAGAAGAAGACCCTAATCCAGACCTAACTATTACTATGACTGCCTTAAGTGCTTATCCTGACAATATACTCAAAAGGTAACAATCATGGCTGTGCTTGTACAACTGGCTTTGGGGTGGTGGGACCCTAATTAGAAGCATTTGCCAATTTGTATAGTATAATTTCTTCTACCATTGCCAATTTCAAGCTAAAACACCATCTCACAAAATTCACCAGTTGACTTTTATGAGTCAGTAAAAGGTAACTCTAATGCACCACCGTAAAAAAAATACCCTATATTAAAAATCAGAAACCATCAGCGCTCTCCTCTCCCCTCCAGTTATAAGTATATTAGTGTGTTTGATGGCTCTTTAAAACTTTTATTTTTTTGAGACAGAGTCTCACTATGTCGCCCTCAGTAGAGTGCCGTGGTGTCACAGCTCACACAACCTCAAACTCTTGGGCCTAAGCGATTCTGTTGCCTTAGCCTCCCAGTAGCTGAGACTACAGGCGCCTGCCACAATGCCTGGCTTTTTTTTTTTTTTTGCCAGGGCTGGGTTTGAACCTGCCACCTCTGGTATATGGGGCCAGTACCCTACTCCTTGAGCCACAGGCGCCACTCTGCCTGGCTATTTTTTTTGCTGCAGTTGTTTAGCTGGCCTGGGCCAGATTCAAACTCTCTACCCTCGAGTGGCTGGAGTTATAACCAGTGTGCTACAGGTGCCGAGTCTCTTTAAAACTTCATACTAGGCTATGTGCCTGTAGCTCAATGGCTAGGGGGCCAGCCACATACACTGGATCTGGCAGGTTCAAATCCAGCCAAGGCCTACCAAACAACAACAACTACAAGCAAAAAATAGCTGGGTGCTGTGGCAGGCACCTATAGTCTCAGCTACTTGGGAGACTGAGGCAAGAGCATCACTTAAGCCCAGGAGTTTGAGGTTGCTGTGAGCTGTGATGCCATAGCACTCTACCCAGGGATACATAGTGAGATTCTGTCTTAAAAAAACAATTTCATACCAGCATTAGCTTTCACACATTTAACAGGTGGTTTTTCATATTAATGTTATCTATGAGAAATGAAGATTTTTATTAGGAATATCTCACTAGAGAACACTGTTCTGTTTAATTTGAGAAAATAATCTAAAACTTTTCACATGTCCATGCTTTACAATCAGGCTTTGGGTCCACAGACAGAAACTGCCTGTGGGTAAAAATAAACAATATTGTTATAGATAATAGGACATTAGAGCTATTTTCATTTTGGAAGTATCATACAGAGGGCTTTACAGAGCTCTAATATGAAATTCTACTTGAAATCTAATATGGAATTCCACTTCCAAGTGATCTAAAATAGGTCTAATTTTTTTTATATTACTAGCATTGGCTATATGTCCACTTGTAATTCCAAAACGGAATATGGGCATATCAACAACTTTGCCATATTACTGTGAACTAGCAAAAAACTTTAGCTGAGTTTATTGGCTACATTTTGTCAGAAATAGCATTTTAGAAATAATTTTGCAAAAACTAAAATGTGTGCTGAAGAAAGATTATTTTTAAAAAGTGTACTCCAAACTTCCACCAATGTTAAATGGATAATAATAAATAATCCTATGGAATAGGAAAGGCAAATTATTTAACTAGAGAAATAGTTTTTCAGCTATACCTATTCCTAGCAAATATAATAGATGCAATCTACTCAATATCATGTTTCTTTATTGTTAAGATTGTGTTTAAATATGTACCTTTAAAATTTTTTAGACTAGGTTCACCTTTTCCATATTTCTTGGTCAATACTCTGGAAGAATTCACCAAATACAATCTGAGTCCTAAAATAAACCAAAACTCTTCTAAGAAAAAAATTGGTCTTTCTTAAAAGTGATGCTATATTACCAATTTGCCGCATTAGACTGTCATCTTTGCCAGTCAAGTATTTGGAATTCACAGTAAACAAAAAATTCCATATTTACTCAATAATATGGAATACTGTCACTCAAGCATACTTTAGAGGATTTAATAAGAGCTAGCTATAATCCAACAATTACATATAATTCAAATTAGTCTGTGTTTGAATATGTTGGGTCTATCCAAATAATATCTTGTTAACTTTGCAATAGGATATTACAGAACTGGAAAAACTTGATGTTATCACTTCTCTCAGAGAGCTTACAGTTTATGGCAACCCAGTGAGTATGTTACTATTCTAATTTATTAGTTATTTCACTGATAGTTGTATATAATTTGTTATTATATAACATGAGAAAGGGATTTATTTAATTGTATCTGGTATTCATTGGCCTATTTATCTATCCTTATACTAATATTAAGTTGTGTTAATTAATGTCTTATATTAAGCCTTGACGTCAAGCAGAGTAAGTGGCTCTAATCCTCCTTTTTCACCTCCTTCTCTTTCTCTTTATTTCTTTCTCTTTCTTCACAGTCTTGGACACTATTCTTGGCCCTTTGTACTTTCCTGTGGATTTAAATATGAAACAACTTCTCAAGTTACTTGAGAATCTTGTTGGTAATTTTAATCAGAACTGCTTCAATTTATTATTCAAAGATGTGCCACCTTTCCCATTGGAATCTTTGAGAAAATCCTATAAGTAGCACTCTTATTCACCTAATAGCTGAACAAGTTGAGAAATATGACAGTAGAGATGTGAAAATATCTACTTAGATTAGTGAGAAAGCCAAATGTGCATGTTAGCAGGTTCCACCAAACAGAGAGTACTAGACCCATGTGGGAGGAAAGCGTCTCTTGAGGAACAAAACACATTCTCTCACAACCACTCCTTTTTTGAGAAGGGAGTTACTATATTTTGCTGTGTATAATGCACACATTTTTACCCAAATTTTTGAGGGAAAAAATAAGAAAGCACATTATATGTATACTAATTCTGTATCTATATAAATGTTTTAAATAATTTTATTTATGCTTATGTATTAAAAGTATAATTCTAGAAAGCAATAATGATATCCATATGCAAAATTATACCCTGGAGTATTGTAATCAGTTTTGTTGAATTTATGATGAACTTGCAATAAAAGCATTTCCAGCCAACGAAGAATGACTCATTTCTCTGTACATTTTAGGCAGGAGCTAGCAATCTAGTTGGTATTTTTACAAAAATTATTGGAAAATCCCTTGGAAAATGTTGGAATAGATTTTGTATACTGCAAGCTTTAAGGCAACAGGTATTAATATGCTAAAAGAGCCTGGCATCAGCTCGTGGAGGCAACAGGGAAGAAAGCTTCTTCGGGTGCCAGGACAGAACCAGGCAACATGAGGAAACCTCTAAAGTGGCCGGAGGTGGGGCAGGAGGTGAAGACCTGGATTCTGGAGCAGCATCAAACTCTGGGATCTCTGTCTTGATCCCTGGACAAGATGGTAACAGGAAGAGAGCAAAAGGATTACACAATAAAAAAAAAATTGATGATTTCTCAAGGACACCTACATGGTGCTTTAACTTTATGAAGAGAGAAAGTGTGAGCATGAGAACATGAACAGAACTTGCCCCCAGACTCCCAGCAGACTGTGAGAATTTCTTGTACAATGTATCAATTCTTCTGTTTACTAATTATTTGTCATATAAAATTTTTTGTACCATAATATGTTAAAAAACAGATACTAAAATTCTTTTATTATACAAAAAATAAGAATCTAAATATAAATAAATAAAAATTAGAATTAAAAAGAAATTAAAATGAAAGATTTTTTTCCTGGAAGTTTGGGCCAAAAACGTGAGACATTATACACTGGAGCACATTATACATGACAAAGTATGGTAAATCATTCCCTCCTGTACTAGTTACTCCTCTTCTTCCCCTAGTGCAGAGGTAGTATTAAGACAAAGAGCTCACAAGTACCATTGACATCACAGAGCTACTCCCACTCAGAGGGTATAGCAATAAGCAGTCTCCCTTGATATTTACAGTATTTAGCCGTCCATTTATAAAAGCACACACACTTCATGTCTTTCAATAAAGATATATAATTTTTGTCTATAAAAGTTTTAATCATCTTTGGTTAGATTTATTATATTCTTTTAATTATTTTACTATTATTTTAAATAGTATCTTTTAAATTTTTTCAAGTTGTTGCTAGAGTATAGAAATTATGATTTTTGTCTATTTCCTTTTATCAAGGAACTTTGCTGAATGCTCTTTTCAATTCTAATGGTTTGTAATTTTTTTATTTTCTCTATAGACTGTTATATATCTATTAAAAATGACTTATTTCTTTCAAATACTCACATTTTTAGTTTACCTTTTTCTTACTGTGCTGACTGGAACTTTTACTACAGTGTTGAATGGAAACACTGATAAGTTATTGACTTCAAAAGAATGCTTCTAAGTTGTCACTATTAAATATTATGTTTGCAGTGGGTTTGTACACATTTTTTTAGCAACTATGCATGAGAACCTGCGAGATTTGTCTTCCTGTGCTTTGCTTATTTCACTTTAATATCATGGCCTCCCAGTTCCATTTGTGTGGCTACAAATGATACAACCTCATTTTTATGGCTGACTAGTATTCCATTATGTACAACACAGTCCCTTTATCCATTTTTCCATTGATAAGTTGTTTCTGTATCTTTGCTATTCTGAATAATGCTGTGATAGACATACAAATACAGGTATCTTTTTGACAAACTGACTTTGTTCCTTTGTGTAGGTACCCAGGAATGAGATTTCTAGATCAAATCATAGTTCTATTTTTAGTTCTTTACAAAAATCTCTAAATTATTTTCTGTAGAAATACTAATTATACTAATTTGCCCCAACAGTGTATGAGTTCTCTTTTTTCTTCTGTATCTTCACCAACATATGTTATTTTCTGTTTTTCTAGTCATGTTATATATTCCTTCAAAAGTCAATTTTGAGAAGTTTTTTTTTGGAGAATTATTCTTTTTACCTAAATTTTTAACTGTATTGCCATCATAGTGTTTTCATGAATTTTTAAAATGTCTACTATGTCTGTGTTCTGTTTACCTTTTTACACCTAAATTTGTTGATTTTTGCTTTTTTCTCCTTTATTCTTGATAAGCCTTGCTAAAAGTTTATCTATCATAATAGTTTCTTTAAAGAATCATAGTTTTATTTTTATCAAGTATATTATTTGTTTTCTACTTCATTAATTTCTACTCTTTTTACTTCCTTCTTTTATTTTCTTGAAATTCACTTTTTTAAAAAAAAAATTCTTCAGTAGGATACCTAACTCATTAATCTTCAATATTTCTTCTAAATCAGTCAGTCAATTTTAGGTTATATTGTACTGCTTTAGTAGCCTCCTAAAACTTTTGATATGTAGTGTTTTTACTGCTTTTTATTTCTTAAAATCTTCTACTTTCCTTTTTTTTTTTTTTTTT